CATTCTTCGTCTCGCGTTCAGTGGGCTGACTAATTGTAGTCTTTCGTATTACAGAATGATATGAAATTATAAATATTGCGTAGCACAACTACCAGTCAGCTGAGTACGAAATTAGCTGTATACAAAATCCGTCGTGGCGAAATGATTTCTTCTGACCTTCTTATATTCATCCGCATTCATCCACTGTCATGAGGGTACAATTCTTCCGGTTGGTCGTTTGAGGTTGCCAGCCCAGGGAGGAATTGTTGACAGAAGAAGTCATCTATAGGCTTGAAAAATTGGTGTCGATAATCATTAAAAACCGTTGCTATAAGTGTGTGGCTGAATAAAAAGTTAACTGCCTAAACCTGGGCGCAGCACACTAGTCATAAGACTGCAGACGGCACATGACCGGTTTTAGCCTTCTTGCTGCTCGTCAGGTAGGCACAGTCGCCGGGTTTTCGTGAAACTTGTGTCGTTCAATTGAAGATAATCACTGTACATGAGAAATAGGGTTTGATTTAGTTGGACCTCTAATCAGAACCAAACTGCTTTTTAAAAAAGTGCAGTTGGCGAATTTGGGTTCAAGCAGCATGTAAAGTTGACGAAAACTCGGGGATTGCGCCTACCTGATCAGCCTCAAGAAGAGCGAAGCTGTTCGTGGGCTGCTGTAGAATTTTTAACAACTCTACGAGTGTTATGTTCCGCCCGCGAATTCCTACCTTCCAAGAATTAAGACCAAGGCCGCTTGAGCACCTGGAATGCATCCACAGCTGACCATATCTGGAAGTCACAACTGGGCTTTACTGATGCCGTCGATAGATATCACTTTAAAGTTCATTTGCGGAGGTGTGCGGAGTCATTTTTGATGTTCAGATGCATGGGCAAGAAGGAAGGAAGGCGCTCGCGTTATCTCAGTTAGTAAATCACATGTCCGGTGAGTGAAAGGTGGGTGGTTCTAATCCACTTCTGCACTGTACCTCGACCTGTCTTCCCAGAAACACCCATTCCGTTTGCACCTAGCCCCTATGAGGAATAAGGGTCTCCAAATTTACACAGCTGTGGTGTTTGGGGTATTTAATTGCAAGAATCGGCTGGGTACCTCAGTGGTCAGTCAGTGAATTCTTACATCATCTGTTTGCGGATCAGTAGTATCTCTCTCAAATGAATGACGCTTTAACCCGTTGTTTAAAAATTGCCTACTTAGTACTTGAAGATATCGCTTTACGTTTCTACTTGAAGAAACGTAGAGTAAAGAAAATAACTTCCTAGCAATGCTTCCCTTATTACAAGCATTGAATTACAGACTCATGACCAGCTTAAGTTTTTCACATTCCCGGTGCTTCCTATGATAGTATATAGCTTGAATTTCTCATCCAAGAAAATCCATGATGAAATTTTCCAAATTTATTCTATCACCATCACAGGAAGGAATTTTCGCATTTGAAAATCGTGCTGTGCACTTTAAGATTGTTTTCTCCCCAACCCTGCAAAAGTGCCATTGTTTATAAGTACTCTGATTTAGTGTGTGAAAAAATCATTCACCATGATTTTCGACCATTAATTAGTGTTGTGCCAAATAAGAATTTAAGGATGAGGGGAGGAGAAACCTGGATGACCACAGCGCAACGCAACAACGTTGTAAAGTGGATGGGTCACCAAGGTAAGCTAGTTTTAAATGAAGGTTTCTGTGAAATCACTTGTGGAGCACTAATAAGTACCACAATCTCCGATTTTAACAGAATGTCTAAATGGAAATATCTCCGCCCTTCTCGATATTCCAGGTTCTTTGATCTGTTATCCTTGACACAACCGAGTGAACCAAAGAATAGTGGTAGAAGTCCACTGAAGCTAACCAATAACTTCGTTGACCATCACTCACCAAATGCTGAATTTTCGATATCCCGATATCAACAACAAACGCCTTTCTATGCAGCCAAAAAGTCTGTACGAGCCACATCCGACAGTTCCACTCCTCTTGGACGTTCAAAATACAGCTATGGTTCCTACAATATACAAACGCACAGATCCTCCGATAATACAATTCCCCCAACCATCCATCAGGAGGCCGGACAAATGAGTTCGAACAGTGCACCTGTCCCCCTGATGGACCGAACTGATCTGCTCGCTCAAGAAATCGCCATATGCCACGCTCTGACAGGTCTGACAACACAACAGCGAAAAATGTGCCTTCAGCACTCTGGCCTGGTTTGGGCCATGATTGAAGGAACTCAGCTTGGTCTACATGAATGCGTCCACCAGTTCCAGCATGAACAGTGGAACTGCTCAGCGGTCAATCTCCTGTATCAGATGCAGTCTGAGACGAATCCGGTGCCCAAAGTCAACGGATTGGAGGGTGTACTCCAGCGAGGTATGTTCCTCTCCTATGTGCGACAGACAGCGTCTTACAAGGTAGCTAAAGCAATTTTTCTCCAATGCAACTTTTGTCATCAGTTTCTTACAACCCTCAGAAGAGTCCAAGTTTGGATGTGCAGTAATTTCCCGCTTAAGTTATAAATCATCAACTGTGTTGCATCAGCATGAACGAACGCCTCGGGGTATTACTTGTGATTGGCGGAACCCAATCTCCTAACATATAATCCATTTACGTGCAAAAAATTCCACCGCCTAACTTGATTCAGGATATAACAAGTGCATGCAGTGTTTCCTAAAGTCTGATATCAGGAAGATATTTATATTGCCTTGAGGCGTCTTCCTGTTCGGGATTACCAAAACACAGGCATTATGTGCGAACTCTTCAGTCCCCCCTCCACGGTAAACTCAGCCCATATCGAATCCCGTCCTTTAAGAACTGTAAAGCTGTTTCATTTTTACTGGGAATCAGAATCTTTTTGCACCTCACCGAAACCTAGGGATTCCGGAACCCACTACTCGCCCGCTATTTGGTAGATCACTGAAGCTACTGAGTGGCTGCTCAGTAGTTTGACTAACTCGTCCATACAATGGATAGAGTGCTATTCATTCTTCAGTCATAGAAAGGACATCGCGTTAGCAGGTACTGACTGACTTCTCAGGTGGAAGTTTAGCTCATTAGACGAACTTCTTCCTCTGAGCTACTACTAAGTCCAACTGCTGACGACCCCCAATAAGGATGTAGCGAATGTAGCGTTTCTAGTCACCTCAGGGTAGATGGGCTTCTAGTACACGGTCAAATCTCGGTTTAAAATGGTGGGATGGTAGGTGTACATAAAAATCTGGATTAATTTTCCGTGTATTTTCCACCCACACCGTGAGCACGCGTTCCGTCTAATGATTCCAGCCCATGTTCTTATTCCGGGATACGCCAGTGAAGCATCAGTGCCAACACTGATGTTGCTGTCTTTGATGATGGTGATCTTATTCCGGTCAGCGATGGTCTATGATTTAACGCTGTATTTTTGACTACTCATTAGTAACGTTATAAAATGTAATTTGTTTGAGAGTGGTCGCACCCGTCGTTAGGACGAGCAGATTGCTGGTATATGGTTTGTGACATCCATTTACTTTTGGTAACTAATTTAGTCCAAATGCACGAATGGTACACATTTTGAAATAAATAACAGCAGCCCTTTGAACGTCAGACAACTTCTACTACGGATCCCACTTACCATTTCGAAAGGCAAGTTACGAATCGGTCAAGTAACAATTTATTTATTAAGTAATACAGTTTTCGAGAAATACACTCATTTGCAAATCAATTTGGTCTTCACGAGAGACTCTATTGGACCTCTCGGTTATGATATTCTACAACTGAATGTGCTACACACAGGCCGCCTCATGATTCAGTTGGCACGATATTCGGGATATCGCAGTATATTTTCAGAAAGAAGTCACTTCTGAAAACCGAAGTGATTTGCAAATGAGTGTCTGTCTCGGAAACNTTCAAGTAGAACATAAGGTTGACGGAAACTCGGGGACTGCGCCTACCGATGAGTCCCAAGAAGGGCGAAACCGGTCGTGGGCCGTCGAAGAGTTTTTAGCAACTTTGTGAGTAGATTCCTTTATGAAGTAATACAGTTACTCAACTTATAGATGACCATTTCCGCTCGGATAACTCCGCCATATTGGATGGTTCAGGTTTACACGAGAAGATACCAAAGTTTATTGGCTTCCTCATCTTCTAGCCTCAAGAATACTAGGGTACTGCACTGAATCATTGATAGTAGCCATCGGTTTAGGTAGGCGAGCGTTCAAGGTCACAAAACAGCTCACACCATTAAAGCCATCCTTATCCTATCGTCACCGTAAGCTTCAACGTACTTTAGCATGTCAAAAACAGAATGAAGTGAACCAATGCTCTTTAGTGCAACGAAACATTTATACACCTTTACCTGCCAATCCACTGCCTTAGAATGCCAACCGCAGGAGATCATGAACAACCGCTTATAGGGGTTTTTCACAGGTTATCTAGCAGACCAATGAAACCTCACATTGACTTTTCATTCGCTTCGATGTTCCACTGCGATTCTGGCTACTTTCATTATTCTTTTACGCTTCTAAACTTCAGCAGCATTTTATTCACTTTTCCGTGCACCCAAATTGCCGGTGCAGTCAAAGCACTAGTAGTGGCAATGACTCCGTAGGGCATGCACGCAGGAAACCCTGCAATCCCGCGAAACAAAGGTTTGGGATAACTTTTTTCTAAGCATATATTTCAACTGGCAGCAGTATTTCTATTTCGTGCAATCGTCGCTTAACTAAATTCTACCAAAGGCGTTTAGTGACGCGGAGTGGAAGAGTTAGCAACAAACAGTTGGCATAAGGCGTGACGTTTGGTCATTACCACCCAAAAGTAGCCTTTCAAAATGTTAGTACGACGCAAAACTGTGATGTGTGGTTCAACACTGGACCCAACCACTAGATTGATCCACAAGTTCAGCTACTGTGTTACTGTGAGTAGCCTAGATTTTATTCTTTTGGCGTTTTGATTCTGGTGGCGGCGAACCGACTCCACAAAGATAGGAAAATCTCGTTTCCACGGCGTCCTAAAAAGGTTTAGGCACGTCTCTCCGGGTACCCACATATAGCTAATTGTCTATCTGATTCCGGAATGATAAAAATATGTACAAGGACGTTCAGATCCTGGTACATCACGGGCTTAATGGCAAGGCTAACTGTGTGAAATGAAAGTTTCCCATTCCGAAGAATCGAAAACGAGGGGAAAAATACCAGTGAGTTTACCAAAATGAAAAGATCACGAAGAGAGAGATTGTACAGTGATAGAAGTGAAACCAGTTTTTCTTTCAGAAAAATTGTTTCTGGCCTTATAACTTAACGGAAATATTTCCGAAGTGAACCCTAGCTAGCCAAGTGACCAACGGGAATGGAAGCAGAATTAATTGGCTTAAAAATGCACTGGGATATCAACAATTTAAGATAATATTCGGTGTTTTTAAAGTCATAAGGTTATCTTTATTGCCACATAAACCGTTTCCCAACTTTTTTGTGTTTTTGAGAAATTGTTAATCCATGTTTAAGGAACCATGTAATTGAATCTTCCCTGGTAACGGCTGCAAAACCAGCTGATTTCGTGATGGGAAATGGCGATTGTTGGATCATTGCGACTTCTGTCACTTATGTTTTTATTGCTACTTCTTTGATAGTTTACCTTTGGAGAGTGTACTTCAGGAAAAACAGATAGTAAATGCGGGAGAATGTATAAGAGAACGTAAAAAAGTGAACCTACCCCAAGAAATCGCTTCTGTACTACTCTGGAACGGCCCACGACCGGTTTCGTCCTTATCGAAATCTACTCAGATGGGCGCATCCTCGAGTTTTTGTCATATTTTCGTTCCGCTCGGACCCGATTCGGTATGCAAATGTGTGAATTTGTCGGATTTCGTGCAATTTGGGTTTAGGTAGTAGATAAGTTAGACGGAAACTTGGAGGCTGTGTCTAGCTGATGGGCCCCAAAATCGGCGCAGCTGTCGGAGGGTTTTCAGTAACCTCATGAGTAATTTGTTACCTCTCTAAAGCCTACTGAGATATTTCCTACCAACTAAAGCACGCGATGGCCTGGTGCAACACAGTGATTTGAGGATGAACATCACAAAGTGGGAATCCAGCTGGGATCCAGGTGAGTCTTCCGTGAAAAATGAATTGGTATGCGAATGGGTGTATTATCCTTACTGGTTGAGCTAGGTTCTCTCATCGATGTACTTTAGAGGCTAACGTGAAAGCACAAGAATAGACACTGCTAACTGAAGAAAGAACAAGCGACAGTCAGGAGTCTTCACCATGAAATAAGCGCTTTCCTGTTCAAGGGCTGCACACCTGGCATACGTTATTCGTCCCATGGGAAAGAAGAACACTCAGTGTTACACACCTCAGTGGAAGCGTCATGTAGAGCTGGGTGTACTGAGTAGGCGACCCCAGTCCAAAAACCAACTCCGGTGGGTCGAACAAGTGCAATAATCAGTGGTTTGTGAAGCCAAACGTCAGTATCACGATCCATGACGAGTAGCGCTTAGATGATAGTAGACAGGCTACCATCGTGACCATACTTCCGAACAATCATTCGCCTCATTCGCCACCATGATGAAGTCTATCGCCGTTGCTCGACGCCTGATAAAGGACTTCGATGTGGGTGCCCTATCTCCTCTAAAACAGAGTCTCCCTTAGTTTGAAGGTATTTTTCCCTATTCTGTTAAAACATGAATATGGCCAGTGAACCTCGTGACTGCTACAATAGGATTGTATGAAATGCAATGAACTCTCTAGTTGGCTACAGTCTCTAACCACTGTGACTCCTTCGAGCTTTTCTAACCCTTGTCCTCAAAGGGCTGCACTGGCGATGGACACCAAGGATACGTCCCTGGGGAGAAGCTCATTCTAGAAACCCAAGTCAGTAATGCATAGGAGCCCAGGTGAAACATCCAACAGTTCATCGCCCTAAGAATTCACCGTGCCACGTTTAGTATTCACACACGTGTTTTTACCCGGATCGAAAGTGCCATTCCAAACAATCGTTCAAAATGTGAGATCTTCAATCACGTTGCGTCGTATTGGGAACTTCGTAGACGGCAGCTGCAACGTGACTGTTGTCGTCAGACGTAGGATGCCGGGAACTCCAAATAATTTGCTGGATTTTATGTATCTAAGTAAAGTGTTCGGCACATATGGCCAACCACCAATAAATCGTCTAATATTGTTATCCAGCCTTTTGAGGGTGTTGGAGGGGGTTGGCTGGGAACTCGCGAATATGTCAGCCTCGTAATGTATGGTCCGTGGTCATCTTCATCACTTGATGCAGCATCAACCAACAATTCGTGTGACTATCGAGGACTTTAAGAAACTTCTTTCGATTGTGACAGATTCCTTACCTACAGAAAGTGAAGGGGTATCTGTTCAACCCAGAGGAGTAATACCAATCTTGGGTTTGATTAAAAACGCGGTCACCCAAAATTCTCTATCCTCACAGGCCATAGTGGCTTTTGTTCTTCGGATTTTCATCACCGTGGCAACATGATCTCAGTAGCTTTAAGCTTTTCACTAATTTGAGCCTGATTTTTGGCGCACATGTCAGGGACCTGGTTGTCCAGTTGCAGCATCGCTAACTAAACACCCTTATTCACTGTCATGATGAACGATTGTTGGGACCCAGGATCTCTCACCGGCATCTCTCCGCCTGACTGTTGTGCAGCAGCGATAAAGGGAACATGCTACAGGGTCTCCATAGCACCATGTGATGTGTCAAGTTAGGTTTTGCCGTGTTCAAAAAGCCTCGGTGGATCTGTTCAGATCAGAGGCTTCTGATATGTCAGCAAACACCAAAAGGAGTTTGATGCAGTCGTTAGTAGGTGACGTTGCGAAATGTGCTACAGCGATATAAGTTGCAACCAAGCAGTACGATATAGAAATAAAAACTAGACTGAGGACACTGGCAACCCACGTTTCCGTTAGTCAGCAGGTGTAATACTAAATCTTGAGACAAGAGTGGATGACATGTTGAGTTTGCGTTCGGGGCCTTCGGAATGAAAGCAACCAGGGCACGACACAAACATGTGGGGACAACTTCCAGATAATAAGAGCATGCCCAAGTACCTGTTAAAGGGACCGGTACTGAGTCGAAGCAACATACCTAGAGTGATTTGGTTTTGCGAGAAGCTCACCTGAAACCCAGCTGAATCTCTCGTTTGTGATATTTTCAGGCAGAAAATGAGTGTGTTTCGCTAATTTCGTGCAATTTGGCTTCAAGTAGAGCACAAAGTTGACGGAAACTCGGGGACTGCACCTACCTGATGAGCCGCAAAAAGGGCGAAGTCGGTCGTGGGCCGTCGACGAAATTTCAGCAATCTTATGAGTAGTGCATTACGGATATACCTAGAATGAGTTTGTCAAGGCCCGTGGAAATGGGAGTCATTGAATTAGTGGGTGGGTGATTGGTTGGATGCATGGACGGGTAATTGGGTGTACGGATGAATAGATAAGCATGTCACCAGGTTGGTTTGCAAGATGCCTTTTGTCCACCAATCCACCTACGACTCACCTCTTACATCTCGATACTTCCTTGTTAAATTGTCGTCAGGTTCCCGGGAAACCGCGTTTCTATCAGCTTCATGGTCTGCTGGTATTGTGCAGGCAGTTACTCGGGCTTGTAGTCGTGGCCAAATGGGGACTTGTGATTGTGACCCACGGAGACGTGAGGGCCAGGATAGAGATTCTGAAGGGGTGTTTACCTGGGGCGGTTGCAGCGATCCAATCAAATTTGGGATGAGATTGACGCGAATGTTCCTCGACGCAAATGATCGTGAGCACCGTGAAGCAGCCATACTTAGGGAGGAGCAACTACATGGTCCTCGCTTTGGACGTCAGCGGATGTTTGATAACCGAGGTCACCTAAGATCGACCGAACATCGCCTCCGTTATGTCCGTTCCCTCGGTAACAGCACCCCATCACAACGGCCAAACTCAACAAAGGAGCTCATAGATCTGCCTGCGAAATTGAGCCCTCAAGAACTGCAAGAAGAAACGTTGAGAATTATGCACACAAAAGCCCGAACTCTGATGAATTTACACAACCGAAGAGCAGGTAGAAAAGTGAGTCACTTGGAAGTAATTTCTTTCGTTGATATAAAGTTTACGTGCATCAGCATTTTTGGCGAACTACTGAAGTTCGTTCATATTCACACGGTAACTAATCAAGTTACTGATCAACCGTGCGTTGCTGATAGTAAGTGGTAAAGCTCCTATCGAGAAGGTCACAGTTCTGAATTTGTTTAGATATATACAAGATACTCACTTCTTTTGACTTTAATAAGGTTTAAACAGCCACATAACCGATTGACCACATGTGTACCACTGTGAATTTAGCTAGGCTGCCAAAGTTCGTTGGATGCTATTACCATCATTGATGTGAATAGGTTGTTCATAGGAGAATTTTGTCACACTCTACGCGTGTACCAGGGTACAACACTTCGAAGAGGAAGCTGTTTCACGTCTACTCAGTTTCTTCAAGAACTAACTGGTTTTCTGTGTACGAGATAGCTTTCTATCTAGCTCCATTCTGTCCTCGGCCGTTTTACGCTCTTTACTGTTTACCGAGTTTCACCCACTCGTTTGCTTGTTCGACTGACACTATTTCGTTCGAATCGACTTCGAAGAATTCTGATGAAAACCGGTCAACCGTGGCCCCCCCGTTGAAACACTGTGATTCATTGCGTATGGCATATGACTGTGGTTTCGCTTAGCGTGAATGTGTCCTCGCCCCTTACTATGACGTTGTATTGTTAGAAATAATGTAACAAGACTTTCAGAGTTCGCCTGGGTAAACCGGTTGTTTGGTTTCGTTCACTCTTGTTCGAGACTTTCATTCAGAACGATCCCCCGATATGTTATTCGCCGCATGAATTCACCTGTCAACTAGAACTGACATTTCGTTACACGAGTTTTCGTTCTTCAGTGTGAAATGATGCGTGGAAATTTCTTGCTGTCGTTTGAATGCATTTATGAGAAACTCGTGCGTTTTTTGTGTGTGTGGGGGGAGGGCTGTGTTAACAGATTAGATCATGTAAACAATTCCTCGTGAGTGTCGTTGCACGCCAGAACTCATTCGGAGTTACAACCATATTAGTTTGTTTCAGCTGTTTTTCTCTTCAGGATAAGATTACTGTCAGTTCTTAGGGTTTGAGAAACGTGTGCAGTTCATAGTTGGTTGATGGCAGTTGGACAACCATAAGCTGTTTGACTAGAAGATATGCCTGATGCAAAACTCGACGACTACGCCTGAGAGATGGACAACAGGAAGGGCGGAACCGGAAGTGGGCTGTCGAAGAGGTTTAGCCAAGCCTATGAGTCTTAAGAAAAATGCCATGGTTTTGTTAGGTGAATTGGTATTACCTTCAACCCGACAACAAATAAATTCAGCTGTCTCATAGTCACACCCCATTTTCTGCCAGTGGATATTCAGGCGAGGTTTTGTTTCGACTGCTCTTTGTCTCTCTGGCTGATGATCGGTTATTTGCTTACGGCGATAAAACCGTATGTTCCACATCATGTTTCAGTACGGAGTGAGGTAGACACTGTCACCCTGTGGACTCTGGTGTGTATGGCTTATTTCTTGCCTGGCTCAGATATATGGAGGCAACTTACAGCCACTGGGGATAATTAAAAACTGTTCTAGACACCATAACTTTCCCGCATATGTGAGTGTTTGATGGCTTCGTGTTGGCGCTGGGCACAAATAACAGATGCTGTCTACTGTCTGCTCTCCCATCCCACAAGAAACAGAGCAAACTCAACGTTTACATCTCGTCATAACCATCGTCGGGTTGCTACTTCCCTCTCGAATAGAGCCATTTGTTCCTATTGTGATGAGTCATAGACGACCGTTGTAAAATATATTCCATTAGATGGGTACTGAAGACCCTGAATGAATTATTGACCATTCTATTGACAGACAGTCATGCTAACCTCTCGCCAACTATGTTCGGGGTAAATACAGCCCCAGGTGAAATGTAGAGAACGAGGTAAAACATTTTATGCACGAATGTCTGGCACGTGTAATAGTGGATTTGACATCCCTTTAGATTTAAAGATCTTATCCTTGATTTCTAGTTTAAGCGTCAGTCTGTCGACAAGAAACCGCGCGTTGTGGATTGTCTACTACTCGGTGGTCTGGAAAATTGTCTGTGGCACCATTCGTTTTGTTTGTTTTTTATTGTTTCAGTTTGCTCACTGACGTGAGATATGGCCACCCACAGTTTTCGCTCATGTTTTCAGAACGAACTGTTCGCCTTTAACAATTTGTTTGCCTATTTAAGTCTGTCCTTCTTGAGACAAAATGATACACTCCAATTCACAAATTTTGGACACATTAAGAGTTTCCAAGTTCCCATTAAAATTGGATGCATAGCGATGTTGTGACCTGTTAAAAAATCTTGGTTTACGATTTAAAAACGGTGGTTCTTTTGATAAAGCATAGTCTGTCAGCTTCTTAAAAATAAACAGAAGTAGCATTTTACTGTTCCTAAGCACATAGAATAGGAATGGTTTTCCTTTTCATTAAATTGCAGTTACGACGGGTACGGATGACTGTGGTATCAACAGCATATCTTTGTTCCACAGAGACAAACATTTACGCTTGTGAAACGGTCAAACAGAACACTACTCATTTCCAATAGGTCTTAGAGAGGCATGGTTGAAGTCATTTCTAACCACAATGCATGATGTTTTTGCGAAAGTTCTTCGTGCCGTCGTATGTTGGATTGCAGCGTGAGTTGTTCATTCATCCTACTGCAGTATGAAACGTGACGCGTCCTAGAACTTGTGCGGCGGTTCTTTCAAAGCACGGTGGCTGAATGGATTTCCGGCTCTCTTAAAGTCTCTTCTCCCTTCTTTTCCTCAAAGAAGGAGACAGGATGGTCGTGTATCATCAGCATTTCATTGATGTTAGTTAGTCACCGCAATTCGAAACACCATCGAAGCAGATCTTGCTTGTGTTATTGATCAAAGATTCCTCTATCCCCAGGGGGATCTTTGAAAGTATAAGTACCTACCAGAGTGCGGGCTGATTGGCGATACACAGAAACCCAAATTCATGGTTCGATAAAAAGGTAACCTGGGAAAGTTATTTCGCCATGATCACGTAACGAAGAGATAGAGATTCAGGAAACTTTGACATATCACTGCAGAACTCGGGCTGCATTAGCACAACTGTATCAACAACAAAACACCACCAGACACAAGGCAGACATTCATAGTCACTCAAATTTGTAGAATAAAGTCAAATTCTGTTAGTGTCCCTAAGATGTAACGGTGTTTGAAACATGCGTGTAAGATAGACTGAGCATTAGCGAAGTTAAACCACTGAGGTTAGTTACTCAATCTTAAATTAAGTGGTACATGTCTTGAGCGTCACGTGAACACCAGAAGGTTCCTCTCCATATAGATATACTCATTTAAGACGAACCGAAATCAAAACCCAGAAATGGATGCTCTTGTATTCAAGAGCTCTGTGGTCCATATAACGAGACGAAATGAAATAAAGCTTACATTCCAGAATCCTTCAATTATTTCACTGCGAACTTTTCGAGATTTGCGTTGCAGACTGGTGTTGTTGATTGCGGGTTAGACCGGGATGTCCGTTTTGTGTTTCAGCCACTCAATGCTATAAAATGGCGAAGTTCCATCTGCAATTGTGCAAATCGCCTCTGCCTGTCAGATAACGGTTGGGATTGATGACCTCACGAACGACTTGTTTGGCCTCCTGAAGCTTATCTTAATATATCATCTGGAAAGAATGCCAGAGTCGACGTTTTGAGCAATAACATCAAGCTTCTGGAGTTGTATTAATTCTCCAAACGTTCATGTTATATTGTGTCAGGCGCAAAACCGATTCTTCCATCTCACTCCAAGTGTAATCGAATTTATTCTATTCATATCTAACCCATTGACTGTACACGCCATCTAAAAGTTTTCCAGTCTGCGATCGTAACATTCGACCTCACGAACATTCGCGAAGCATCTTTTAATATGTAGGTATGAACATTCTTCAGCGTTTGTATACCAGCTTGGCCGCTGAAATGTAAGATTTCTGTACAGGATTTAAAGACAAACTAAGCATAGTTACGAATCATTCGCTTTTGAAATATGTTGGACGAGTTTTTGTGGGCTATCCCGCGGTTTATGGGGGGTTCAGATACTCCAAAAACTTTTGATGCTTCAGGAAGGATGGCAGTTGAGGTACTTCTGAAGGAATGCGGTCTGTGTTGATTGTTAAATCCATCCTAGCAGTTCACACATTCGGTCCTTCTGTAGGTGTTGATCTATTTATCATCACAAGAACCTAGTGTATTTTGTTCTTTCTGTGACCTAACGCCACTAACAGATCCACAGCTTTCCATGAGAGTCAGCGTCAGATGTATGATTCTGTAGATGCTTCGACTTTCAGGCAGTTAATTTTGTTGATTGGTCTGTAGGTAGAGTTTGAAACGGGTAATATTCAGTTGCGTTCTGATCTTGCTATGCTCACTGTATTGAAGTTTTGAGATTTCCGCTTTTGATAACCCCAAGCTTTGGCTAGACGGATGTTCACTTATTGAAGCAGTGTGAATCAGGTACGCTATTAAGTGGTGTAGACTGTTTTTTAATTGTCATACAAGCAATCCAACCTCTGCGCACGAGAGAGAGAGAGTGAGACTGGAACGCTTGCTTCAGCCTGTCAAATTGTCAGTGGGCCAGCTGACAGACTGCCCATGTCCGTGTATGTCATAAGCGGTTTTATGGCCTAATGTTTAGTGATTCATTCCCAAGATTATCTTGCTGTCTGATATTTTGTGCTTATCTAATTTTCTGGGAACTCTGTTTCACCACTTACCACCACCGACTTGTGTGATATGCTGTAAACTGGTAGGAACCAGGGCCCAACCACATTAGACCTCTTATCCGACAACAGTCTTGCATACTAAAGCATTCTGTGATACACTAACAGGTGAATCAATACAAAGAGAGAAAGTCGAGAACCTAATTTGGCTTCGACATTTTTAAGCAAGCTTAGCGCCATGTAGTGTGTCATACGGACAGCTTAGAGTCAAAATACGGCGCAATGGAATAAGATTACGTAATATGACGTTTCAGGTGCCAGTGTCAGCATTTTGAAGGCTTTTTACAATTAAGTGATTTCAGGAAAAAATGCGATTTTAATTATTCGGCCACTATGTTAAAAAAACTTCGAAACTGATGTTGACGGCAACCTAGACATTGGTCTATAGCCTCTCATTTCACTATGCTTCACTACTTTCCAGAACACTCGAATCTTGAGTGAAAAAAATTTGGGAAGATTGGACCCGTTGACTTCCTTGTTACCTATTTTATTCTCGCTTTGTGACCAGGTATTTTGGAAACTAAATATGTGGAAAGTTCACCTAAAAAGCGCATAGATCTTCAGTTACCAGTTTGCACAAGAGGTTGGCTGAACGCTGTATTGGAGATTACACATCTGTGCATTTCACCTGACCGATAGTGTTGCACCTATACGGTTACCCACTACAAAGTCATATCCTTAGCCTTCGATTTCGAAACCAGAAAGCACAAATAGAAATATGGCTGCATTTGTAACGCTTAGCAGATGTTTCACTGCACTTTCTAGAATGCTAATTTCAATGGTATAACTTGCAGGGATGTTGGTCAGTGTTAGGTTTCCTCGGGGTGTTGTGGTAGTAGTGCAGAAAACGATTCTGGAATTCCGAGCGAAGCAAATTCTTCATTTTACTGAGGTTTGCCTGAATCATTCTCCGTATATTTATGATAGTCTGTCGATGTTCACCTGCAGACAAGGGAATGAGTGATGAGGTTTCCAATAGACTTGGCTACATTTTACTCCTGTATGCCAAATGATCAGTAGTCACGCAATCTGGGCTATTATTTCTTCCAATACCAGTAACGGTTAGTCAACTCCGACATAGCTGTTCACTGCCCGCAAAGCAGAAATGGGAATGCTGGATAGATTGGCAAGCTTTTTTTCCAAATTGATAATCTCAGGAAAATACCGTTATGGTGAACATCTGGGATGTGGGAATTAGATTAAGGTCAACACTGTACTGTAGTGCGTCACCGACACAAAAAAACAGTGATATTCAAAAATTTTACATTCATTTTCCAATATTAAAGTGTTGTTTGCAACAAACTGGCGATTCCACTTTTACATACTTGGCGTTGCTGAGTCGGAAGACATTTTGCTTAGATAAACTGAGACTAATTTGTCTACCGATGACACACCATTAAGTCTACAGAAATTCATGAGAATTCTGATGCCAGTGGGTGTTCGGCTGTTGGAAAATTAATCACTGATTCGATTACTGCTGGTATGTTCAAGGAGATTCATTGGAAAGCTCACCTAGTACTCAGGTCATTAATAGCGGTGTACGAGCGCTCAGATGAAGAATTCCAATTGCCCGACCTGCATTTTTAAACTTTAAACCATTCTGTTTGTTTACATAACTGAAAATCTTTTGGTGCAGTAGATGAATTGTTCCTTTAAGCCCCATACAAGATGGAGATGCCGAAAATATCCGTTCCATCTAGGAAAGCTCACTCTGAATTTGGCCGTAATATGACATTTTATTTTTTCTCGGTTGGCTGGTTAATAAAAATCGGTACTTGGCTACCTTATATTTCTCCGTCTGGGCACAATGGACCAGTTGCGCTTGTTATTCCTGAACTCACCATTTTCGTTCGTCTGACGGGGTTGTGTTACACAACTGGCTAAAAAACAGCCCTTAGTTCCAACTTTTAAAGTAACTGAATTCGACTTTATGTTCATACAGGGACAATTCTTGGTCTTCGGTCTAATTGATACCAATGACGGGAAAGATCCCTGCGGAGGAATTCAGCTGACACCTAAATGTCCCACAATTTAGCTACCTCGATTTTCAGCAAAAATTCATCTTTGTATCCAGAAAGGTTTTCTAACCAACAAAAATTGTGGGTATTTTGGTCCTCTTCTAACAGACAACTTTCCGGAAAAGGCTACTGCTGCCAAGCCTTCCACAAAACAAAAAATCGATTGGGGCAAAGTCGGCTTAGTCCAGTTAAAAGTTTTCACCAGCACGAGTAGTTGGTAACACCACATACGCAAACGAGCCGACTGAGGGTAGACATCGTCAGCATCGTCTTCATAAACGTGGACATGTGTTTCACTTCTTCGGCACTTTCAGTTTGTACTCTGAAACAAATACAAAGTGAACGGAAACTGTTTGCGTGAACATCACTGACAGAACGGTAAGTAAAATAACCTGACCTGACCAGCCGCTCCGCTTGTGACTCCACAACGGGTACATTTCGGTGAATTCGTTTTGGCTGGCTGTGGTCTGAGTACCCCAGGTGCATGGAGATTTTATACACCACAACCTTTGACCAACGGGGAACTGTCTGTGACTATATTACGTTGTGACGTGTTAAGAATAGCTGTTCAGGGGGGATACCTACTGAGTCCACCCGTTTTGGGTGTATAACGGTAAGCCAAGGATCAGTTTAGCGAATAGTGCGTGGGCTTCCCCCAAGTCCCACTAATTGCTGTCCGCTCACCCAAGATGTGAAAAACACCTCGCTCATTGTGTGACCAATGGGGAACTTAGAAGTTGGGAGGGCGAAACTCCCCGTGTTCCTGTACTTTGTAGGTATGCTTTTGTGGAACTCGCAAACTTAATGTCTTAGTGATCTGTATAAGGCTTCGTGCATATTTAACCCGTGAGTGTAACCCACAGTCCGTCCGTCCGTCCTCCAGCTGCAGTAACTTTTCGGTGCGTAGCTGCCATATCACTGAGAAGAGGCATGAAATACTACCAAAATGCTGAACCTAGACAAGAGCAGTCGGGACCCAAGGGTTAGGTTTGAACCACGGGCAATTCGAATAGTATGCTAACGCAAGAACCACTCAGCTCGAGCTCTCGGGCACCCAAAATCGAGCGTAATTTTCTTTTCGGTTTTTGGAACTATGGCTCATCACTTTGAAATTTTCCATATTGCAGGCAAGGATCTGATGGAATTTTTATCATTCAGAGCGACACCAAACTGATTACGTTCTAAGAGGTATGAATGTGCCTAAAACTCCTACGAAGAGATCTCTGCTGGCTTATTTTGGTGAACCGTTTGCTTGAGCATGATCATATTCTGGCCACCTGTTCTCGTTATATCTGAGGTTAAATTTTTCACATAACACGCAGCTGGTCTGGAAGAACAGGATCAAAAAGTGTAAATGCCATGGTGTCAGTGGAGCTTGCTCAATGCGCACCTGCTGGCAACGAGTAAATGAATTTCGCCGCGTTGGTATGCTACTCAAACTAGCCTACGATAAGGCTATCCGTGCGACTTACGAACCCAGACTGGATATACTACGCCCTACCAACATAATAGAACGCTTTGAGACCAGACCCTACAGTCGATATACCAGCAGAGGTGTGATCAGTAACCTGCCAGTTCACCGATCTGTGCCGTCAAACTGGGTGGCACCGATGGCAAACGAAGCTGGGGCGACTCGACAGAATCCGCCTATTCCAAGTCTCTGGGAGCGCCGACGCTTTCCAAGAAGTGCTCCGGAAATGGGTCAAGTGTCCAAGACAAAATTAGTTTACCTGGAAGAGTCACCAAACTACTGTCGCCATGATTCTTCCATCGGTGAGTGTTAGGTCTTTTATTACAATGAACCTGGTGATTTATGATGTTCGCTAGCTATAAAACCTTTTGGGTATTTGTCACAAACAGCATTGAAGTGCTTATCAGCTAGAGGACATGTTACTAACATGGACATCAAATACTACTTAGTTCTAAGAATAGTGCTCCACTGCACAGCTTGACTTCTGGGCACACGCTTCCTAGGTTCATCAGATTCGCGCCAAGTCAGCAGGTCAATATTTGCGATGAAATAAAAAATCCAAATATGTAGCGGAAGCTAAAAATATCTTGAATACGTTTGAACTGAGTCCAGTGCATCAACCCTTAACTGCATTCTATCTGTTCGCTGGGAGGATGAACGTCCAGTTGAAGTGTACCCTCGGAAGGGCCAATCAGATAGGGATTTGGTGGGTTTTCGAAGACACTTTATTTGAATTATCTATGGCACCCTTTTCGTGCCCAGTAGCCACGCTACCCGGAGGAAACACGGCGACAGAGATATCGCTCAAGATTCTGCCGAAGCCTAGATGGGAGTAGTGGAGATGCAGAGGCCTGGTTCGAACCGCGATTTTCCGGCCAGTAAGTTCGAGCCTTAACTACGATCAAAATTTGGGTGAACTTCTTTCAATTTAGATCAGGAATCACATGAGCAAACCGATTATGTTTGCGTACATTACTGTTCCCGAAATAGACCTTTCCAAAGCAAGACCCGAGTTCCAAAAATGGGGGAAACAGCGTTCTTTGTAGCCTAGGTGCAATCCTGCAGAAGACAGACTGTCTTTCTTCGGTCGTTGCTCCAACCTCCTCTCCACGGATTGCGCACATGCCGAACCTATTGGGCTCAAGAGAATATGCTTGTAACTAGGCGATAAAACTGCATCGTAGTTGTTCACTTCTTCATGCATATCTGATTGTTCGTAATAGGTCATGACTGCCTTGAGAATCGTTCATTGTCGAATAAGTTAGTGACCAAGATTGCATTCCTTCATACCTCCAAGCATCTATTTATGCAATCAGATATTTAGCTCAGAACTAACACGGCACTTGCCATAGAGTTTTTTAAAGATGAATCTGGCTATAACTGAAAAAAAAATCTGGCAGTGATTAGTCGACAGTTTACGATGCAAGATGCTGTGAAAGAAGCAATGTTACATGGCTCGTTGCTGTGTCATGGTGAGCAAGCTCAATATCATTTAGAGTATACTTACATGGTAAACTTTATACGCCCATGCGTGCATTACATTAGTAACCATCTTTCGAGTTTATTGACCGGTTAGCAGGCCACAGGGCTGCTTTTCCCGTAAGACTTCGTTGTTTTTACTAATTTGCAAGCCTCACAAGCTCTACAAGACCCTGTGTTCTATTTGTGTATGCAAACACTGTTCAAGTAAAAGTGATACGAGTGTGAATTCTACACATTCTACAACCATCTATACTAGTGAGGTTAAAGATCTGGGATTCATTTCATTTGACTACTGTTGCTGAAAACCTTGGATAACATACTACTAGTTTTTATTCCATCGGGTAGACCTATTAGCAGAAATTCTGTCAACCTTATTCTGTATATAAACACCAAGGTGCACCTATGTGGAGATGAACTCTCTAATACAAGCAAAGTTATGGTTAACGAGAACGGCAATCAATGTACAAACGCATCTTGTTTTCATTACATTTTTCGAAGGAACTGCTTTTGTGCACCGAATCGCTTTGGAAGAAGTGCAGAAACGACAGATTTAACTGAGATCGGGAGTAGTCTCCCGATAACAGAAGCTATTTGGATGTTTCCATAAAATATATCTACGCCATGTCTATCCACCATATCTTTCTGGGCCATGTGCTAGACACTCAGCTCTGTTCTTGGGGCGGAACCTAAGCTAGCCGTTGTCGATTAACTTGCGTCCCATAGGCAGTGAGGCACGAATGGTCGTTTGATATACACCCGGTTTCATTGAAAAAAGTGGATCGGGACGACCAAGGTTGCGTTAGTCGTGTTTGTCATGACAATGAGATGTGCCAGTTTTAGATAAAAACTTTCGTATTCCACAGACTCATGCATTTGCAGGGTCAAAATGCCACGGGACTGTATTGCTGACTACGTTCACACTGGTCAGGCTATAACGCATATTACATTGCGACCTGCAGTGAAATATTGTAGCCTAAATACATTTTCTTTCCCTTTCAGGTCACCTGGGGATTGCGGGACGCTTGTGCAACGCCAGTTCGATAGATGCGCCAAACTCTTGTAGTCGGCTGTGTTGTGATCGGGGTTACGAAACAGTGCAATATGAAACAGAACGGAACTGCAATTGCAAATTCTTCTGGTGAGTATGGAAATTTTTAAGAGGTATATTAGTAAACCATGTGACTAGATTGCCACAGTAACTTCACTTTCGGAAACTCTCGTGCTCAGCCTAGTCCTGATAAGACTCTCTGATCAAGACGGGCAGAGAGGAAAGGCAATTTTAGTGCGTCCAAGGAGTTAGTGCACATTTCTAAGTAGGATTTCCCGAAACACCTGCGGTCTATACACACTACTCACTGATAGGAGTTGTACAGTGTGCATTCGTGTGTACGAAGACCTAAAGCGACACCTGGTCGGTTACCCTAACTTGCTAAATCCTTGAAGGTCTGTTGTGACTATATAGTTCAAGGACGAGTGTATTTCCGAAGTGAGTTATCGAAGTATGCGGCATGCTTCCATCCACTGTTTTAAATGCACCTTACTTTTCGCCATTTCGTTATAAAGACCAACCCCTTTTGTTTGGCAAAACACCAATATGACTCATTCTAGGACAACATTTGTCAATATTCACTAATTGACGGTATAGTAATACAAAACGCCCTCAAAATATCTGGCTTCTCCTGTTGATGAAGTGATTAACCGACGGACTTTGACTGGACTGAGTAAATAATTCTTTTAGCACAGTATCTTTATCAGGCACTCTATCGAAGATTATTCCGTGTTGCTTGCGACAATGAATATTACGAGCGGGAACCTTTAATACTTAGTTGGTGAAGTATCATTTATTCACTTTAAAATCCCCTGCGCAGTCGGTGTGCAGCAATCCGCCGAATTCAACAGAGCGGGCGGAACTTCGTCAAAGTGTTTGTCGATATTACTCTTGTCTTCCAAGTGCAAACGATATTCGGAGCCATTTAAACTTAGTTATTTGGAATAGTCTGTCCTTCTTTCGTGTTCGCTTATCTTAGCCTTCCCGATCAACAACAAACAACACGTTTTTTGATGCTCTTGTGATTGTCTTACCCTTTGCTTAGTGGGCAACACAGTTCAATATATTCATATTAATAGACCGTAATGTTTTCATCTGATTTAAATGACCTGATACCATTTTATTCACTATTTCCGGTGCTTTTTACTGGGTTCGGTTCAGTATTTGATAATTTAGCGGGCGAGATGGATCATTAGTTTGTACGCGAATTTACTGACCAGAAATTCCGTGATTCGAACCCTACCTCTGCCTCATGATTTCCACCGTCTGGGCTTGGGGAGCCCGGCAATATTCCAGCCCTCGTGCTTCATTCGGATGAGACGGCAGCCAGACACTGAAAGGGTGCTACGGCTGAACGAAATTCATTGCAAATTCAAGACATGCCATATGCCCTAAACATTGCTCATTTATATTTTGTTTAGTACGAAAAGCATGAGAGGACTATAACTCACTAAGCTAAGCCGAACTGCTATAATGACAAAGAGTTGTAATAACCAAAGGGTATAATTTTTTGGGTGGATGAGTGTGAGGACCAGGAATTCCCCTTTTATGATGCAGAAGACTTAGCAATTTACTGGCATAGGATATCTTGAAGGAGAACATTTGTCTTGATTAAACCAATATCGTCACGGTTGCTATTGGACTGCAAATCTAATCCATGTTTGGGACATCACCAATTGTAGAAGTTTTCGATTTCCTTCCCCTCGCAGGTGTTGCGCAGTACATTGCAGTATATGTCGCGAAGTTGTCATCGAACACCGATGCAGATTTTGAAGAAAAAACTCAAAGTATACAAATTGGAACATCAATATTCAATTTATCATCCCGGAGCAGTGTGCATCATTTCTTTCAGTTTACTTATCCCCGTCGCCAGTTACCGCTGGGTTTGCACACCCAGAAAACCACATTACGTACGGTTCTTGTGGCACATACGTCAATATCACCATTCGTGTTCCAGCTTGTACAATTCGATCCCGCCCATACATGTGTTTGTGTTCCAATTCGTGGGTATGCGAATTTTTCATCTTTTCAGTTGTTTTTCAGATATGCATCTGGAACACGTTACAAAAACCAAAGCACAATATGATTATTCCTTTAATACTCAGACATAAACCTCTAATTTCTTCAATGTTTGCACCATTTTGTCTACCTTTATCTATAATTTATGCATAGAAAATATAACTAATACATCAGCAAACAGAGGTTGGTTGAGAGTGAAGTCCTAAATGAGCTTTTCTTGGAATCAACTTAATCCAGTTGAATCGCAGGAACAGACCGAACGAAGTCCAGACACTATTCGTGGAAGTAAGTTTTCCTGCTTGGCAAAGTTTGAAATTATAGGACACGGCGGGGTAAGAGCACGCCAATGCGGCTTTTGTTCGAAGAACGCGCGCAGCTGAAAAAACATGTCTGTCACAAAAGTCATGGGTTTACACAAATGTACTCATTTGTAAATCGATTTGGTTTGTGAGTAGTTTCCTTTATGAAAATATCATGCGAATTCATGCGAACTGTAACATAAGGCGGCCTATGGACAACACATTCATTTGAGGAATAGCATAAAGGAGAGATTCAGGTGAGAGACTCAGTGAAAACCCGGCTGATGTGAAAACCAGTGAATTTGTCGAAATCAATGCAAGTTAGGTTCAAGCAGAACAAAAGGTTGATGGAAACTCTTCTACCCGACAAACCACAAGAAGGGAGAAACCAGTAGGGAACTGCCGACGAGCTTTCAACAGCCTTGTGAGTAGTATTCCCCATGAGTTTACAGTTATTATTAATAT